GTTCTTATGTTCTTATGTTCTTAATCTGCTGAAGCTGTGGAGTTCACTAGAGTAAGGACAGCCAATTATGGCATTGAGTTCATTAAGCTCATCTAATACTCATAACCACTGTTTTTTAATGTATACAATTTTTGTAAGTTATACAGTACAGAGCGTCACTGAAATGATGATTTATAAAATACTCCCTCAGACTTCTGTATTTCCTGATTAATGACTCAAATAACCTGAAAGATCTTTTTTCAAAGTGCAGAGGCATTGTATGGGCACTGAAATGGAACTAGTTAAATTTTGAGACTGATTGCCCCAAAACTGAAGCAGCACTGATAGCAAAAAAATGGGCAGTTTTGACCATTAAGACGTAGGGCTGTGCGCTATGACAAAAATCTCATATCCAGAAATGAGTCATCGTATATCCTGATAATGATATACAGTGGTACCTCAGAACTCAAACTTAATCCGTTCAGAGCTCCGGATCGAATCCTAAAAAGTTCGAGCTCTGATCGAATCTTCCACATAAGAAATTATGGAAAACCAATTAATTGGTTCCCGGCCCCAAAAAATTACACCTAAATATGTTTTTTTTAGCATTTAAACACAAAATTAACCAGATAAAACAAGAGCATATACTGTACTAAACACATCTAAGCACACTTATCAAAACAGTCATTTGTAAAGAAAGAAAATAAATGTATCCAAACAATGTGTAAAGTTAAAAAAAAAAAACAATGTGTCCTGCCTCGATCGTCCGCTCCTTCCGTGTGCCACGCCCCCTCGTTAACCCCGTGTGATCAGCTGTTTCTGGTTGTTTTCGTTAGCCCTCCATATTTCATCCGCGTTTCAGTTTGTTTCCCCAGTCCGGTCATTGTATTGTCCGTCTGCGTTTTGCCTGCTTTACCTGTAATTAAACCCCGTATTCCCCGATACCCTGATGTCTGCGCCTTTGTCTCCGTTCCGTCCCCGCTCGGCAGGACAATATTATTATAATTAAATGTATTAATGGTCTATTATTAATATTAAAATAATGAATAAGAAATCTTATTTTAAAATGTATTTTATTATATAATAAATTACTGTTACTGTCTATCATTTTCTAAATGTATTTTTACTGTCTAACTCTAAATATATGTATTCAGCTAGTGTAAACATACAGGATGCTATCACAGCGAATATGAGGCTGAGACTGAAGCTTTACCCTTTGTTTCCGCTGAGAGATGTGCCGTGTGACTCATTTCCCCAGGCATACAAGTTATCTTAGGTCGGCATTCACGGTTTGAATTCTGAGATTCAGATCGAGCTCTAGGTAATTTTTTTCGAATTTTTTTAAGAAATTCGCGTTAGAGTTAGAGTTAGAGAACTGAGGTACCACTGTATATCACAGCTGCACCTCATATTTATGGATTTTGTTCTATAGATCAATCCACAAATGAATAGGAGGTAAGTCACAAATGTAATGTGACTGACAAATCAACAAATCTGCAAAACCCTTTTCACATGTACAAATGTGTACAAATGTAATTATGATTTTACACAACACAAATAAAAATACTTTAGATGAGGAAACTATATCCCATGCTCTGAGCTAGGTTGCCGGTGTTCTGACGAGTTGAACTACCCATCGAGGCGTACTATCGAGCCTTTTTGCGCATGTGCAGTTCCACCGTCTTGGGATTAGGGTTAGGTTTTAGGGGTTTGGGTTAGGGTTAGGATGAGGGTTTTAGGGGGTTTGGGGGTTTAGGGTTAGGGTAAGAGTTAGGGTTAGGGCTATCGATTAGCACTACGGTAGGATAACTCGACAAATGTACCTCATTTCGACAGAACACCGGTGTCGACTGAGATGGAACCGCTCTCGATATCCGGTTAAGGATGTATGTAATCAAGAATCCTATTAAACATCACACCAGCCACGATTGCTTATTTCCATTCACTTTATCTGATTGAGAGAAGTGCCCTGAAATGAAGTGGTTTTCCTAGAGCAAAACACAATACATGTATATAACAGATAACAGCAAAGTATGCTACCAAGTCATTAACATACCAAGTAACATACAATCTTTATAACCTGTGCAATGCTAAACGTGCAATATCTCCTAGGCAAAACATAACAAATATAGACATTAATGCATGCGATACACAAGCAAACTTAGGATACGGCATGGCTATACAGTATACACAGACATGAAATGGCGTCTATGTTAACTCCACGGGTAACGAGGATTCACATCCTAACAAACGGCAAGTACTAACTGAAAATTAGTACTGAAAATCAGATTACACCATAAGAAATTACAAACACGCACTCCGAGGGCTAACAGAAATACTAATTTATATCTAACTGCAATTATAAAGGAACACTAAATAATCATGAACTTCGCTAGGCTCCGCTGGCACCGCTCCGCTTCTGCAGTCCATGGTACTAAATGAGCAAGCGAGTTCTCCACTCTCAGGAAGATGGGCGGGGCTTATGACTGACAACCATTCTGTCCGATAGGGGAGAGATAACTCGGGTAAGTCAGCGCGTCAAGTTGAAATAACAAATAAGAAGGGGAACATTTATAAACAATCCGGACTGGACGGAAGTTACTCTAAATAGAAATAAATCTAAATACTCTAAATATTTGTAGACTCTTTTCTACAAATACAATGCAATAGCATTGCGAAGGAACGCGATAGTTTTGCATTCTCTCATAATACTTTTCTGTTATTAATAAGAACATAAGAACTATACAAACGAGAGGCGGCCATTCTGCCCATCGAGTTCGCTTGGGGAGAACTTAACTAATAGCTCAGAGTTGTTAAAATCTTATCTAGCTCTGATTTAAAGGAACCCAAGGATTCAGCTTGCACTATGTTATCAGGAAGACTATTACATACTCTGACTACACGCTGTGTAAAGAAGTGCGTCCTTAAATCCAGTTTGAAATGTTCTCCCGCTAATTTCCACCTAAAATGTTCTGTGTCCATTTAAAGTACACAAGATAGGTTTATTCTTATTAGTCTATTAATTCTAACTGATACAGACATGTCCAGTGAAATGTGCTTTAAGCATTAAACTACAGGGGACAATGCACACCGTGTAACTTTCATATGTGTTTTTATATGTATTTATTAATAATTGCACTGTGTCCATTCACCATCAGTGACTTTAAACAAGACAGCTGGGCTATTGAAGGTGAACAACTTACTTACTAACTGTATTCAGAGGTTGTTTGAAATTAGAGAGAACATAAATGAATTGAGGGAATGAGGTGCGTTTCCTTATAATGGGCGTCAATGGAGAGGAAAACGTCTAATGTGAGATAAAGTCCATATTCCTAGCATTTCGATTTTGATTCCTTGCCAGGAGAGAAATTTGGTGATTATTGGTCACTTTTTTGGTATATGTAGCCACATTAAGCTTTTTCACGCTTTTAGCTTTTTCGAGTGTCCCCATTGAAATATTAATTAAAATTCGCCCGTAAAGAAATCTGGAAAACCAACGAGTGTTGCTTGCTTTTGATGAAAGATATTACAGCCAGAACATTAAATATAAAGCTAACTGTGGTCTCCTATCCTAACGTTTTGTTGCTGAGGAAATCCCTTATCCAGGTGAACAGTGAGCTGCTGAGGCCCAGGTTGTTCAGCTTTTGAACCAGCTTGTGCGGTCATACTGTATTAAAGGCAAAGATGAAGTCCATAAATGGCATCCTCACATAGGTGTTGCTGTTGTCCAGATGTTTGAGGGCTGTGTGGAGAGCAGTTATCATGGCATCCTCTGTCGACCTGTTTGCCCTGTATGTAAACTGATGTGGGTTGGTGTCAGCTGCAATAGCGGCTTTAATGTGGGGCATGATGAGTCTTTCCAAGCACTTGGCGTTGATGGGAGTTAAAGCAACTGGGCGGTAATCATTCAAGCAGCTCACTGGGCTCTTCTTCTTGGGCAGTGGAACAATGGTGGCTGACTTAAGGCAGGTCGGAACTACAGACTGCAGTAGCGAGAGGTTGAAGATGGTTGTGAAAACCTCCGTTAACTGGTCTGCACATGGCTTAAGTACCCTCCCTGCAACTCCATCTGGACCAGCTGCTTTCCTCACATTGACTCTGCGCAAAATGGTTCTGACCTGATGTTGCTGCAGCTGGATGGGGGTGTCGACCCTTTTTGGAAGAGCAGGATGAGTGTGGGCCATACTGTTGTGTTGATCGAAGCGGGCAAAGAACCTATTTAGGGTGTCAGGTAGGGTTCTGTCTGAGAACTCTGCCGGTGTGTGGGCGTCTTTGTAGGCGGTAAGTGCCTTGATACCCTGCCACATATGTCTGGAGTTGTTGCTGTTAAAGTGTTCCTCAATGCGCTGTTTGTGTCTGCGCTTGGCCTTTTTGATGCCTTTCAGCAGGGACTGACATGCCTCTTTGTAAGCCTGCTGATCTCCTGACTTAAAGGCAGTATCTCGTGCTCTGAGCAGGGCACGCACCCTGAGGTAACACTCCCTGTGCAAAAGTTAATGTAAGAGAGCACAGCAGCTGTGTGACCCTCTAGTTTGTTCCCTCTGCAAATATTCCCCAATCCATAGTGTCAAAGCAGTATTGTAGGGCTGCAGTGGTTTCCTCAGTCCTCACCTGAATTGTTTTAACTGTTGGTTTTTGTAGATTAGAGGTTTATAGGCAGGTATCAGGGACAGAGAGAGGTGGTCTGAAAGTCCAAAGTGTGGCAGATGGGTGGCTTTGTAGGCCTCTGGAATGTTGGTGTAGACCTGGTCCAGAATCTTATTTTCCCTCGTCAGAAAGCTCACATTTTTATATATTCCGGGCAGGACAGACTTCAGGTTTGAGTGGTTAAAGTCTCCCGCTGCAATTATAACACAGTCCGGCTGCGGCGTAAGCTGTTGATTAATGGAACGTTGTAACTTCTCCATGGCTAGCTTAACATTAGCCTTTGGCGGCACATAAACTGCGGTTATAACAACCGACATGAACTCTCTCGGGAAGTAGAATGGTCTACATTGTACCATCAGATATTCCATGTCCGGACAACAGTGAACAAACACACACAGTCCTCCTCCCCGCTTCTTACCGGATTTGGTTGTTCTGTCCACTCAGAAAGTAGCATAGCCCATTAGCTCGATCACAGTTAGTGGGGTGAAAGAGTCCAACCATGTTTCTGTTATTACCATCACACAGTAATCCAAGCAGCGTGAGATAATCCGCAGTCGTATCTCATCCATTTTCTTGTTGAGCAAGAAAGAGACTTGGAATGGCCGGTTTGTGGGGGCTAGCATTTAGCCTCCGTTGCCTGCGCCGCTTCAGCAGTGGAATGTTGTAAACGGAGACTATGGTTCTTCAGATCGCCGGTGGAATGAAGTCCCAGCCACTTTCATTACAATTTTGGTGCTTATTTTGCTCCTGAACCATAATCAGTTCAGTCCTGCTGTACTGCATGTGTGCGACTGATACTTGATTCAGCAAAATAAATGTAAAAACACAAAAAAGAAAAAGAAAACTGCTAAATCTCGTGCAGCGCCGGGCCGCTATTGTCAGGGTCAGCCCGTGTTGTGGTCTGTCTGTGTTCCCTTCCCCGTTTGGCCATCAGGCGTTGCTGGTCATCCTGTTCTTTATGTTAGTCTTTGTTCTCCCTGGTTACCTGTCTGGTCATGTGGCTCAATGTGTTGAGCATGTGGTTGTCTGTGTACCCTTCTGTCCTGTGTTTGAATCCTGCCTCCTCTGTTTTTGTATTTTTGATCCCTAGTATTTCATTTGAGTTTCTCTAGTTCTTGTGTTTGATTTTGTAGTTGGTTTTTGTTTTGTTCCTTGTGGCCCTGCTTGTCTTTACCTGTCTGTAATTCCCCAGTGTTGGTTCCTTATTCCTTGGTTAGTTCTTAGTTTAGGGTGACCAGATAATCCACGTCAGGGAGGACACTCTGAGCTAGGACAGGAATTGTAAATTACCATTTCAATTAAAAGGACCTGGATTTAATTTGAGCACCAAGTTCTTGCTGTGTGTTGATTGGTCAGTCTCCTATAATCACTAACGCTAATGTGAAACAGCTGGATGAGTCTTTCAGTCAAGGAAACAAACCAGTCAAAGCACAATAAGTGCTGAACTATTTAGCCAATCGGAGGAGCCTTTCAATTTGGAAGTAGTTTGTAAAACCCGAAGTAGCTCAAAGTGTCCTCCCTGACATGGATTATCTGGTCACCCTATCTTAGTTTCCCTGTTTTTAGTTCTTTTGAGTTTATAGTTTCACCTGTGCCCTGTTTCCCTGGTCTTTGTTAATTAGCCTCACCTGTCCTGTGTTAGTCTCGTTACCCCTGAGTGCTTTAGTTCCTGCTTCTGTTCAGTTCCCCAGTGGTTCGTTGATTGTTGTTTGATTAGTATTGAGACGTTTGTGTGGTGTGTATTTTGCTTATTTGCCCAGTTTTTGTCAATCCCTTTATAGTTTTTGACCCCTTGCGGTCCTTTTGGTTTCATTGTGTTTGTAGTGTTTTCTGTTTTATTTAGTAAACCCCTTTTGTTCTTGGAGCCGCCAGTGGGTCGTCCACCCTTTTTCTGTGTGCACTATGCCACGTTCTCGTGTCCGAGCCATCCGAGTCCATGACACGCTATGACTACTCATGGTGCCATCTTGCACCCAACAAGATTATCTGATCAAAAAACAGTTGTTAGTGGCAGCACTAATTTAGAACAACTGAAATCATACACAAATCGCTTTAAATAAAACACATCTTATGAAAAAGGTCAAATTTTAGTTGTAATATAAAAGGGAAGTTCCCTAAAGAAGTAGAAAATATATTGTTTGCATTTCTTGCAAACAAAAAAAACATTTATTGTGATCATGTCTGTCTGGGTGAAATTGATCACTATAAGCAGATGATCGTTATAACCGATATTTTGTCTTTTTCTTTAGGCCTCATATATACCTGAATATAAGGTAATAAAATTCAGTGTTGCTATTGACTCTGTCAAAATATTTGATGGGGCTGTCCGGGTTATACAATGCTGTTTTTCAGACAGCCCCCCTTTCTAATTTTATAAATAAGCAAATACTTTTATCTAAAACCACATATAAGTGAGGTAAGCTGGGGTCACGGAGCAGGGTCAGCCATGATTCCACCATTGGGTCCTTGAGCAGACCCTTAGCTCCAATTACCATTTCTGCTGTGTTTAGGTCAGTTGGCCAGGTCATGTGATGTGACACACTATTTTAATTTTTTTCTTTCCCTGTTTATGCTCCCTCTTGAACATGTCACCCGGTGATATGGCATTAAGTTTCACTGTTATGCTGATGATCTACAGCTGTACTTTTCCTTGGATCCAAACAACACTGCTAACATACACTATATTACCAAATGTATTGGGACACCTGCCTTTACATACACATGAACTTTATTGACATCCCATTCTTAATACATAGGCTTTAATATGGAGTTGGCCCACCAACTCTTCTGGGAAGGCTGTCCACAAGGTATAGGTGTGTTTATGGGAATTTTTGACCATTCTTCCAGGAAAGCATTTCTGAGGTCAAGCACTGATGTTGGATGAGAAGGCCTGGCTCGCAGTCCCCACTCTAATTCATCCCAAAGGTGTTCCATCGGGTTGAGGTCAGGGTTCTGTGCAGGCTAGTCAAGTTCCTCCACACCAGACTCGCTCATCCATGTCCTTATGGACCTTGCTTTATGCACTGGCGTGCTGTCATGTTGGAATAAGATGGGGCCATCCCAAACTGTTCCCACAAAGTTGGGAGCATGAAATTGTCCAAAATGCAGTATTAAGAGTTCCTTAAACTGGAACTAAGGGGCCAAGTCCAACCCTTGAAAAACAACCCCTTACCATAAACCTATCCTATAACTAACTTCAGCTTAACACTGACAAAACAGAGATGTTAGTAATTGGGCCACAGTGTAATACAACTCATGTGAAGCAGGCCTCATGTTAATAAAGAGGTACAGTCTAGCTTTTACTAAGTGAGGAATACTATGAAAGTTAGAGCATTTCTTTCCTCTACAGCAGGGGTCTCCAACTCTGGTCCTGGAGAGCTACTATCCAGTAGGTTTTCTGTCTTACTTGGCTTCTGATGAGCCACACCTGGCCCTGGTATTTACCTGAGAACAGGTGTGGCTCATCAGAAGCCAGGTAGGATTGAAAACCGACTGGATAGTAGCTCTCCAGGACCGGAGTTGGAGACCCCTGCTCTAAAGATACAGAACTAGTCATATACACTTCTATTACATCTCGCCTGGACTACTGTAATGCTCTATTCGCTTTACTGAACAATTCGTACAGTTCTTTCATTCATCTTCAGCTGGTACAAAACACTGCAGCCAGACTACTTACAAGACCAAGGGTTTGTGTGCATATTACCCCTGTTCTGGCTTCACTTCACTGGCTAGCAGTTAAATTCATAATTTATTTAAAAATTTTATTGATCACTTTTAAAGCTTTGCATGGTTTGGCTCCAGAATATATTTCTGGATTATTAGTTCTCTATCAAACCAATCAGACCTTTCCGATCATCTGTTCCAAAGTCGAGACTAAAGGCCAAAGGTGATAAGGCTCCTTCTGTGTTGGCTCCTATGCTCAGGAACAGCTTACTGCCAAGCATTAGGTCAGCTGACTCATTAGACAATTACAAGTCACATTTAAAAACTCATTTTTACCGTTCAGCATTTCATGGTTCATATTTTATTGATGTCTTAAATTAGATTTTTTATACTTTTGTTTTTATCTTAGTTTTATGTTTCATGGTTTGTGTTCTTATTTTGTTGTTAATGCTTTATATTTGCAATGTTTCATATTATATAGTCCTTTTCTCTTTTACATGTTTTTATTATGTTTTCTTTTTGTATGTTTTTTTATTGTGTTATATTTTCTGTATTCTTTTTATTCCTTTTATTATGTAAAGCCTTTTGTGCTGCTTTGCTAAAGTTATTACCTTATCACTCGTCTTTGTTGGTAGCATGGCACGTTCAAAGTTCTGAATGGTTCTGAACCCATCATTTTTTTCTATTTCAGCAACGTACTGAGGCACAAAAGTCTTCAAACAAGCATAGACCTACAGGCACTTGGACCTCTGCTGCCTGAAGATGTGGTCCAGCCCCTGGAACAGCAGTACCTCTCCCATGCTGAGGTAGTGCCTCATTCTGACAGTGAATTTCCTGCAGACCCTGGGCTGTAAAAAGGCTCTGTTTGGGCTGTAGTTTCTGCTGGCTTAATTAAGTTGTTTAAGCTCCATTCTGTGAAAATCAGCAGGGACATAGCTTAGATATTTAAGCAATACTTATACGTAACTGCAACATAAAAAGGTGTGCAGTCTGAACTATTTCTTTTATTTATTTATTTATTTTTATTTAGCAAAACAAAAGCACACACACACTGGCTGGAATACAACACAAAAGAAAGGAAAAATTGTACATACAATGACAAACAGAGTATTATATCACAGATCAAAATTGACAATAACCGGGGAGAATACATAAATTATCTATACACCTCTAGTAACACATTCCAAACCACAAGATGTCACAGGTAGAAGCATTTATGAAATTAAGGTATGGAGTCCATATGCGAATGAAAGCATCAGTTGTCAAATGAATAATACAGGTCAAGAGTTCCAGAGGGATAATCTCCCTAATAATTGAATGCCAGCCTTTGATGGAGGGAGGCTTATCACTGATCCATGACATCAGCAAATTCTTCCTGGCAGCAAAAGTTAACAAACTAAAAAGTCGTCTTTCAAATTTATTTGGAATGAGCTTACAAGGAAAGCCGAAGAGAAGTAACAAAGGATCCAGCTCCAGATCCAGGCCAAAGATGTTGTTCAATTGAGCCACAACTTTGGACCAATATGCCTGGATCCTATAACAGTTCCAAATGCAATGAATATAATCTCCTACATTAGACTTACACTTAGGACAGAGTGGTGAGTGACTTGCATTGTATTTATGTCTTAATTGTGGCGTGATATGTATTCTATGTAAAATTCTAAGCTGAATGGCTCTTGCCCTATTACAAACCGAGAGCCTGTTAGCTTGAGACCAAACCGTCTCCCATTCCTCTACTGGAATATCCACCCCCAGGTCTTTTTCCCAAGTCAGTCTTAGATATGAAGTGCTATCTGCACCATAGGAGCATAGAGCTTTATAGAAAAGGGAGATCAACCTGTGTGATGGGGAGTTCCAGAGGATTTCCTCAATAACAGAAAAAGAGTATTTAGAGATAAGTGTGGTATTTTTGAATATATAGTTTCTAATTTGCCAAAATCTAAAAAAGTGCTGTCTAGGTAGATTATATTTAGAAACTAAATTATCAAAAGACATTAGAGATCCATCCTCAAACAAATCACCCATCCTACAAATTCCAAGAACAGGCCATAGATTAAAACCTGAATCTGTGACACTTGGCAGGAACTCTGGATTGTTCAAAATTGGCAAAAGAGGTGAGGTGATATCGCTCTTGCCTTCCAGCCTTTGAATAGCACGCCATGCCTTGAGGGTATTGTGTACTAAAGGACTATTAAACAGAGTTCTGCATAACTTTGAACTAAGAGAGGTGAAGTTTAGATAGTTTTAATTTGGGTTTCCTTTTGCTCCAAATAAATGAACTGAGCCACCCAGTTAACTCTTTTATAGCCTTATTAGACAATAAAATAGGAATCATTTGCAATGGATACAGTAAGCGGGGTTAGGCATTCATTTTTATCAGAGCCACCCTCCCCAGCCATGACAGAGGGAGAGCCATCCACCTATTCAAATCATCATGGATATTTCCTAACAATGGTGTGAAATTGACTTTATATAATTGCTTCAAAAGTAGGGGTCACATGAATACCCAAGTATACAAAACCATCCTCAGAGTATTTAAAGGGAAAGGAGGGAGATTGATTGATGGGCTTCTTATTACCTAGGAATAGGGCGACTGATTTAAAAAAATTTATCTTATACTCGGAGAATTGTCCAAACTCCTGAATAATGTCTACAATTTTTGGCACAGATACCTCGGGATCTGAAAGAAAGAGCAACACATCCAGATACAGCCGTCTCCTCTCTCACCATCTGAGCAAACGGCTCTATCGCTATTGCAAAAAGCAATGGGGAGAGGGGGCAGCCCTGTCTGGTGCCCAGAAACAGGGGGAAATTGTCAGATCTGTGACCGTTAGTAATAACAGCTGCAAAAGGATCTGTATAAAGTATAAAATAGATAAGGCCACTCCACAGAGTCAAAAGCTTTCTCAGCATCCAGAGACAAAATAAGAGAATTAAAACTTAATTTATGAGAGAGCTTGATAATATTTAGTAACCGCCTAACATTATGAGCGGAACTTCTACCTTTAATGAACCCCGTCTGGTCTTCATTAATAATAAGAGGTAGAACCTTCTCCAATCTTAGTGCTAAAATTTTTGATAACATTTTTAAATCAGAGTTTAGTAATGCAATGGGGCCTATAGGGGCTACAAACTTCTGGATCCTTGTCTTTTTTTAATATCAGAGAAATATTTGCTTCACGAAGTGAAGAGGGCAGACTATCAGTCAGAAATTAATGATTAAGCATGGCTAAGAGAGGGTCTAATAAAATATGTTCAAATTCTTCATACAGTTCACATGGGAGGCCATCTGGCCCAGGTGATTTTCCAGATTTCAGACTACGGAGTGCGATCCTAGCTTCCTCTCTTGTGATAGGAGCATTAAGAAGATTCCTTTGATCCTCAGAGACAAGAGGAAGAGTCAAACGATCAAAGAATGATACCATAGAATTGCGTCTTTGAAAAGAATAATTAGATTTATATAGCATAGAATAAAATTGTTTAAAAGTATTATTTATAATATGTGAATCAAAAGATTGCACACCGTTAAGTTCAACTATAGAGATGATAAATTGTGAATACAATTTAGATTTTATCAAATGGGCTAAATATTTACTAGGTGTGTTACCCCACTCATACAATCTTTGCTTTGAGAATAGAATATTTGAGTGAGACTGTTGGTTTAGCAATGAGTTTAAAGATGCCCGTAACATATTTATTTTTCCTAAGGAAGCAGGTGAAGGATAGATCAGATAGCTATCAGTGGCAACATTTAAGGCTAACTCTAGGTATTTTTGTTTTTCTAATTGTTTCTTTTTTTATCAGTGAGATATGAAATGGAGAGGCCTCTGATGTATGCTTTACAAGCCTCCCAGAGAAGTGAGGGATTATCTGTGGATGCTGAATTAATAGAAAAAAATATCCTAAACTCTGAGGAAAAATGTGAGAGGAATTTGTCATCTCTAAGCAACAGAGTATTGAATCTCCAGCATCTAGCTGATCTTATAAACCCCTTCACACAAACATCTAGAACAACTGTCTCATGATCAGAGATAACAATATCTTCTATGTAACTGTTAGAAATTGTTTGCATCAGAGCCTTAGAAACAAAACAGTAATCAATCCTAGAGTGACAATTATGAGGGTTAGAGAAAAAGGAATTTTTTTGGAAAAGGGTTAAGAGTATGCCAAAAATCTATATATCCTAATTCTTTACAAAGAGCTTTAGATTGTTTGGTGATAAAAGACTTTCTGGGGGGGAATCTATCCCATAAAGAATCTAATAAACAGTTAAAGTCCCCTCCTATAATAGCCAATCCAGACGCATTCTCTTTAAAATGAAAAAAAACTTTTAAAAGGAATTCTGAAGAGTAATTAGGGGGACAATATAAATTTAGAAGTGAAAACTCTTCTCCATTCAAAGCTCCCTTGATAATAATATATCTTCCAAATTTATCCTTAATATTCTCTGTGACTCTAAAAGGTATCTTTTTATTAATTATAATAGCTACACCTCTGCTACTTTTTGTAAAAGATGAGTAATGAACCTAACCAATCCACTTATGTTTTAGGTTCAGATGTTCACTCAGGTGAGTTTCTTGTAGCATAGCGATATCTATATTCTCCTTACAGAGATGTGTAAAAACTTTCCGTATCTTTATCTGCCCGTGTAAACCCCTTACATTCCAAGTACAAATTCTTAGGTAACTAACCGCCACGACGTGCACCCAGTGATGAGTAAATCAGGTAGTACCCTTCCCCTGACCAACACATTTATAATCGTCGCCCTGCCATTACATTCAAAAAGCAGCCATGTGTGTCTCAGGTTATATAAGTGAACAAAAATACATATCAAAGCAAGCCAAACTGGCAACATGAGGGAAAAGGAAAAAAAAGGAAATAATAATAGAATAAAAGACTCAAGAAACATGAAAAGGAAAGAAAAACAGAATGGGGGACAGTTCCCCTTATCTCTTAGGGGACACAACCTCACCTCTTAAACCAACAAGTTAACCACGCACTGTAGCTCTGGCTCAAAGGAAGTCGACCAAAATAAGTCTCTTGAAAACCACCCACTCAAAAACTAATTAAAATTATTAAAACATCCCCTACTCAGTCAATATAAAGGAACAAAAACAATACAAAGAGGTACTCAAGCCTTGATTCGTATAAACTACAAAAGAACAGGCATACAATCTGTAAAAACGAATAGTTCAGCCCCTGACCATTATACGACAGCACGCAAATCAGGTATTAAAGCTCGCAGCCTTCTTATCCAAATACTGCGAAACTGCAGCAACCATCTCAAAGACTTTGGAAGTATTTCCAATAGACACCCATAACTTGGCTGAATACAACATCGCGTAGCGAGCGCCCATCTCTCGAAGTCACTGTTTAACGGCGTCGAATTCCTTACGCCTCCGTATCATTTAGGCAGAGAAATCCTGATAAAATGACACCTTGTTGTCATCGTACCACAAATCTCCATCCCTCGAGAGCATCCTGCTGGCGTCAAGAACCTTCTGCTTGTCCCTGTAGTTATGGAACCGAACGACTAGCGGCCGGGGTCTGTCCTTAGCACCCGGTTTTGGAGCCAACGTACGATGCGCCCCCTCAATCTTGATACGCCCGTTCTTAGCCTGCAAGTGTAGAAAATCGGGGATCCACGTTTGAAGAAAAGCAACGGCATCAGTACCCTCCACCTCTTCATGAAGGCCTAAAATTCTATTGTTCTTGTGCCGGCCTCTGTTTTCCAGATCGTCGATGTGATCATTTAGAATAGCGACTTGTTTTTGAAGACTGAGTCCGCTGGTTCCGGACTGAGTTCGGGTTCACGGTTAGCATCACCTGAGCTATGCTCCGGCTCATCAGCCTCTGCATCCGCGATCAGATCCTTTTTCCCAGTTTTCTTAACAGATTTAGGCATCTTCGGCAAAGACTGCGGCCAAAACGTCTCTAATGACATGCTACACAAAATTTGCAGCTGAAATCAATGGCTTGAGTACTCTATTTACGAGTAGAGGATAGAAAACAAAAGAGGGGGCAAGAACCTCTAAAAAACCTTACCGCTCCCAAGCCGCCATCTTGCACGCCCCTGAACCATTTCTGATAGGATCTGCAGGTAAGTGTGTAACCAAGGTCACTATGCCTTTCAGAGCCAGCTAGGCACGTGGATATCCAAGGCCCTGACCGATGAGAACGCGGCATGGAAAAAAGGAGATTTGCCCAAAAAGGAGGACGGATATTATACCACAGCCATGACTTTTCCAGTCATCAAGGTACAAAACAAAACGTCTTTCCTTTGCTGCACCACTTGCTCCTCTGGAGTGTGTCTCTTCTTCCTGTTTCCTAATGAGTCTAGGAATATAATACTATATTTCTGGTGCTTGTATTTACACATACAGTGCCAGATACATTCATAGACATTCATAAAGACTTACAGGTTGCTGTTGTTACTAATAGTACCTACATTCAGCTCATAATAATCAGTCTGTGCAGCTGCTATCTTGTAATAGAATAAATATGACTGTATACTGTACAAATACACAGTAAACACTCCATAAAGCCAAATACAATAATCAATAATAGGGACAGTATGAATTTTAAATTAAACTCCTTTAATTCCCAGCTGTGATTGAGGATCTGTAGACTGAGCTGTGTATGGCTCATTTAATTCCTGTCTGTCTCTTTGTTCTCTGTGTGATTATTTTCTCAATTCTTCCTTGGCATGTCACACATTATTTCCTTGTTCTGGTTTTTGATGAAAGTGTGTCAGGCCAAACTCTAGGTGGCACTTCCCTAACGTTACCTGCATGTTGCCATCCCCTGTCACAGCTTGTTGATGACTGCGTAAAGGAGGCAGGCACCATTCTGGGAGACATTATGAAGGCTCAGAGGATTGTGTGTCAGCTGGGGCCATTTTTACAAAGGTATGGTTTAAAATCCAGCCATGACCACTGACTAACAAACAAACTCAGAAGTGAATAGTTCAGGTCCTGAAAGCAGTGTTGGGGAAACTACTTTTAAATGGTAGGCTACAAGTTACTTATGATTAAAAGTAGCTAGGCTAGAGCCAGGCTACTGTTTTAGTATTGTAGCTAGCTACACTACAAGCTACAGAGAAAAAGTAGCAAACTAGATTGAAGCTATTTCATCCGGTAATACTTAATATTTGTGCTGTAGGATACTCTTACAGCAAATTGATAAAAAAATGTGAAACGTGATGCTAAAAATGGAAATGAAAATCTATATTTTTTTAATAACGTAACGTCAAATCACAATAAGGTTTCAAATTTTTTTTTATATTGGTGTAAACCAAGATACTTTGCAATCACAACTGCTTAGAAGGTTTACAACAAAAAAAAGACATTTTGATAATCGGTTGAAGAACCAAAGTGGTCCTATGCATTTTAATGATAATTAATTAAATTAAATTTCAACCCTTTAACATCCATCCCCAGATTATTCAAGCAAAAAACACCAATCAGAAACACTTGGTAGTTGAAAATACCTGTCTTTGTAAAGAGAAGTCAGAACTTTATTTTATATGCAAAAATGATCATATGTATAGTATACTGTATAATAAAATATCATCTTTAAGTCATATTACTTGTCATTTTTTCACCTTTTTATCACCATTTAAGCTGCTAAGACACAAACAGACACGAATGTATACTGTACTGTGAGCGCTGTGAACAGCAGCCTGAGTACAAGATGAATGAATGAGCATCTTGTGGGGATGCTCATGCTGCTGGCATTTGGGGCGGAAACTGTCATACACTCACGGTGGGCAATGCGGTGCAGTTGTGGTCACATATGTGCGGTCTCGGTACGGTCATAAAATCAATCAGTCATAAGTTGTATACAGTAGGTCGTAAGTCGACGACATCCTGTAGTATTTTTTTATGATGTAGCGTTTTACCACACTACATCGTTATTTGTAAAAAAAAATATAAGCTACTGAAAAAAGTAGTTACATTAGTTAGTAAAGTTAATAACATTGATGATTTTAGTTAGCTACTCACCAACACTATGAGAAAGTAAAAATCCAAACCAGGATTTTGTTTTAACCAGCCAGGTGAGTATTATGAGTTACAGTCACAGAGTACTTAGCTGGTTGGTTGAAACAAAATCTTGGTCAGGATTTGTACTTTCTGGACCTGAACTATCCATGTTGTAAATCATGTTCCTTTAAAGAAGAAAAATAAGATTACTTTAGTTTTACACTCTACCCTATTTTGTGAAAATGTCTTTAAACATGGTGCTTTATTAAGAATGGATTATGGATTATGTTTATACACTGCTCAGAAAAATTAAAGGACCATTTTGAAAACATCAGATCTCAATGGGAAAAACAATCATACTGAATATCTACACTGATATGGACTGAATAATGTTAGGAATGAAAGGATGCCACAACGTTTGATGGAAATTAAAATTCTCAACCTACAGAGGGCTGAATTCAAAGACACCCTGAAAATCAAAGTGAAAAAATGATTGCAGCAACTCACTGATGTTAAACTCCAACTTGCAGGGAAACAGTTTCTTTGGGAGTCGCTGGCGGGACTCCAGCCACTGTAAAACAACTCAGAACTGCTCAATTTAAACAAGCACGATACTCTTCTGCTCTCTGCAGGAGTAGCTCTGCTGCAGCCGCCCGCAGGAAGGCTGCATGCACCATGAAGGGGATGGGGGAAGCCTTCGGGAGCCCCACCCCCAGACGAGTCGAAAACCGTTGGAGGGTCAGGCCTGTTGGGGATCGGGCTGGTGTGAAGCTGAGGCATCGCCTACTGCATGCCAGCACTTGGGTCACAGTTTGAGGCGACCCATCTTGGTAGGCACATGGAACGTCTTGTCTGGCCGACAAGATGACCATCTTCCTCTGCTGTCGAGGGAGCTTTGTAAACTCTCTGAGGTACGGAGACTGGGGAGTGGGCAAATTTCTGTAGGTGTGTATATCTGCTTTTGATCTGGTTAGTCTGATGGCTTTCATACTCAGGGAGTAGCTGTTGCCGTAGCGGATCGGCTCCTTCCGATGGTGTCTGATGTCACTCCTTTCAACGAACATATAATGAGACTCAGGCAAAGGCACTCCTTGGGTGTCTTGTCTGTTGTCTCAGTGTATGCTCTGACCATGGTGAGTGATCTCTCATAGAGGGAGACATTTTACTCGCCACCTTGCTTGGTGGTTGATGGGTGCTAACAAGGTGACACTCCTCTGGTCATGGGTGACTTCAGTGCGATCACTGGCACTAACAGAGCTGTCTATGAGAATTGTGTCCGTCCCCATGGGTCTGGAGACTGGGGTCAAAGTGGCTCCATGTTCCTTGACTTTGCAAAAGGTCAGGGGCTGCGGGTCACTGGATCCTGGTTTCAATGCCCTGAGCTGCATCGTTGGACTTGGTACTCCAATACTGGTGGTGGATCACATCCTTGTGGGCAGTTGCTGGAGGCTCTTGCAGAATCTATGGTCTACAGAAGTGCCCAGTTTGTGAATTCTATCCACAGATTTGTTGTTGCTACACTGAAGATTCAGAATAGATGTACCACTTACTAGGAGATTGAGGCTGGACTTAGCCAGACTAGAAGATCAAGCTGTTTCTGATGAGGTTGCACACAGTTTGTGTGAGGATCTTGCAGACTCCGAAGCGACTGCTGACTCTTAACCCTCTGGAGTCGACGGCATCGTCGGCGATGTCGAGTTTCTTTCTCGTGTATTTCAGTTCATAACACGCTGAAATCTTATCATAGAAACATAAAACATAGTAAGATGACATGGTTTACTTTTTTTGCCGATTTAACTTAATTTTAAAAACGTTAATACTTCCGACAATGGACGTTTTGAAAAGAAGATTTAGTCAGTGTTTTTTTCATCTGCATCGGGGGCGTGTAGTACTGCCCTCATGCGAAAATCGATATTCACATTCTAAATAGCCGCATTACTGCGTATTCAAATCGCATTCGCATGGTAATTCGATGAACAGTGCGACGGTGAAACGCGATCCAGATATATCCCCATCAGCGCCATAAAAGGGGGGGAGGGATGTGGCCAAGTGACAATGGCTCATTCATACACATGAAAGTTGCTACATATTCAATGAAAGGAGCTAACAATAGTGACATGACTTTCTTATACATTTATCTAACTGAATGTTGCAACTACACCATTCAGTCATCTTCATGTAGCCAAGACTTTGCTGATTAGATATCTGGGATCAAAACAAACTTCCACCATTGCTTGCTTTGTACTTTTATAATGTGTCAAACTGCATTTTGCAATGTCTATACTTTGATGTCAAATTACAAACTTCACATAAATCTGACATATTTACAAAGTACACTAAGATTAAGATGAGTTTTATGCCAAAACAAATATATATGAAATAACTTATTTGCCATTAATTAAGTTTATGATATTGAATGAAATGTGTGCCCCAGTCAGTGAAAGTGTGTTCCCTACCCCTAGACTCCAGAGGGTTAATGTGATGTGGGAGACCTTACGTGATAAGACCCTGAAGGTTGTCGAGGGTTGTGTTGCTGTTGCCAGTGCTCCCAGAAGGAGGTGTCTCATCTTGCAGGACACCCTGGATATTATCGAGAGTCGCAGCACACGACTTGGTGGGAACTCTAGTCTGTACCAGGAACAGAGAAGAATGGCTGTAAGGGCTCTGAGGGCAGATAAAGAGGAGTTTGATAGACGAATCTGTGAGCAGGTGACACACCATCTGTGGTCTAGTGACACACATCCTGCTTACAGAGGAGTTGTATTTGACTCTCCCTGCCGGCCCCTGGAGGATGGGCTCCCCCTTTGAGTCTGGTCCCTTCCAAGGTTTTTTTCTTCTAGGGAGTTTTTCCTTGCCACTGTCGCCTATGGCTTACTCACTGGGGGCTTTGGGTGGGGTAAAGCGCTTTGGGACAATGTAATGTTGTGATAATGCGCTATACAAAAATAAATTTGTTTGTTTGTTGTTGTTTGAAGCATTACGTACATCTGAATCTGTTCCTCGGAGACTTGCAGTCAGGGTGGGGGATGAAATGGTCCTTACAAATGACACTAGTTGTGACCTGCTAGGTAGACTACTTTAAGCAGTTGTTTAAAGCTGACCCTCCAGCTATGATGTTGGACACCTCTGGGTCCACGATTCTCAAAGCTGATCCTCTGATCAGCTGTAAACCACCCAATCTCACTGAGATTGCATGGGTGGTGAATCAGCTGGGGGTAGGGAAGGCCACGGGGATCTGTGTTACCCGGAGCGAACTTCTCCAGGCTGATGGTAAGGCTGTCTTTCTGTCAATGCAGGCAATCTCTGCTTCCATTTGGGACTCAGATATCATCTTAACTGACTGGAAAGCGGGACTTGTAGTCCCTATCTGGAAAGGGAAGGGTGATCGCTTGGATTGTGGCAACTACAGGGGGATAACACTGCTTTCCTTGCTAGGGTCATCCTTAACAGGATCCATGATCAGCAACCGGAGCAGTCTGGTTTTACACCTAAGAAGTCTATCATTGACCGGATCCTTACACTGAGGGTTCTCATCAAGCGCAAGTGCAAATATCAGCAGAGGTTCTTTGCAGTCTTTGTCGATTTTCGTAAAGGGTTTGACTCGAGTTGCCCTGTGGGACATCCTGAGACTTCACGGGATCCCCCAGAATTTGCTGGATGTCATGGCCGGCCTGTACACTGGTACTGTGAGTGCTGTGCAGAGTGGAGGGAGAGCCTCTGCGTTGTTCCCAGTTGATTCTGGGGTTCGCCAGGGGTGTGTTCTTGCTCCTACTCTGTTCAATGCTTGTATGGACTGGGTGTTGATTTACTGATCTCGACTTTGTTGACAATGCAGTGATCTTAGTGGAGTCAGTGGAAGCTCTGATGGGGGCTCTCGAGACACTGAATGAGGATTCTGAGTGTCTGGGATTGTGGGTATCCTGAGTAAAGACTAAGATCCAGACATTTAATGACTTCTTAGGCACAGCCATCAGTAGTGTGCTTGTCTGCTGGGAGAATGTTGACCTTGTCGAGAGATTTATCTACCTTAGCAGCGACATTCATGTCTCAGGTGACTTTTCCTATGAAGTCAGCAGGTGGATTGGAAGAGCATGGGTGGTCATGGGTTGCTGGAAAGGGGTGTGTGGTGCTGCCAATATCTTTGTAAGTGGACGAAGGTCCAAGTCTTTAGAGTCCTGGTGCTCCCTGTCTTGCTGTATGGCTGTGAGGCATGGATGCTATCTAGTGAGCTGAGATGAAGACTGGACTCCATTAGTACTGTGTCTCTTCAGAGAATCATTGGGTACCGCTGGTTTGAGCTAGTGTTGAATGAGCGGTTCCTAGAGGAGTCCAAAATGAGGCACATTGTGAGGGAGTGTCAGTTATGACACTACACCCATGTGACATGTTTCCTTGAGGGTGATCCGGCTCACAGGATTCTCATTGCTGAGGACCCAAGCAGCTGGACCAGGCCAAAGGGATGCCCATGTAACACCTGGCTGTCGCAGATCAATGGGCATTTCTGGAGGGTGGGACTGCCTGAGGGATTGCCGGCTGGGATCCCGAGGAGTTTCACCGTGTGGTGGGTGCATACTCCCCAACCTGACCTGACTCAAAATCATACTCAGTAGTTTGTATGGCCCCCACGTGCTTGTATGCATGCCTGCCAATGTCGGGTCATGCTCCTAATGAGATGACAGATGGTATCCTGGGGGTTCTCTTCCCAGATCTGGACCTGGGCATCACTGAACTCCTGGACAGTCTGAGGTGCAACCTGGTGGCATTGGATGGACCGAAACATAATGGTGTTCTATTGAATTTATATCAGGCGAGCGTGGGGGGCAGTCAATGATATCAATTCTTTCATCCTCCAGGAACTGCCTAAATACTCTCGCCGGGCATTGTCATGCACCAGGAGGAACCCAGGACACACTGCACCTGCATAAGGTCTGACAATGGGTCCAAGGATTTCATCCTGATACCTAATGGCAGTCAAGGTGCCATTGTCTAGCCTTTAGTGGTCTGTATGTCCCTCCATGGATATGCCTCCCCAGACCATCACTGACCCACCACCGAACTGGTCATGCTGAACAATGTTACAGGCAGCATAATGTTCTCTACAGCTTCTCCAGACCCTTTCACATCCGTCACATGTGCTCAGGGTGAACCTGCTCTCATCTGTGAAAAGCACAGGGTATGAGTGATGAACCTGCCAATTCTGGTATTCTATGGCAAATGCCAATTGAGCTTCACGGTGCTGGGCAGTGAGCACTGGGCTCACTAGAGGACGTCAGGCCCTCAGGCCCTCAGGCCACCCTCATAAAGTCTGTTTCTGATTGTTTGGTCAGAGACATTCACACCAGCGGCCTACTGGAGGTAATTTTGTAGGGCTTCTGGCAGTGCTAATCAATTCAATTCAATTCAATTCAATTCAATTCAATTTTATTTATATAGCGCATTATCACAACATTACATTGTCTCAATGCGCTTTACATTTCTGCCTCGTAAGGACCCCCCAGTGAGTAAGCCAAAGGCAACAGTGGCAAGGAAAAACTCCCTAAGAGGAAGAAACCTTTGGAGGAACCAGACCCAAAGGGGGAGCCCATCCTCCAGGGGCCGGCAGATGAGTCAAACAAACAAGATGATATGACTAAGCTAATACAGGGGTTGAAATATCAGTCTCAATGCAGCGGCCGACCGGTGCAGGCACGGGGTGCTTGATGCACGATGGCAGGATTAATAGAGGCATAGCCGCAGGGAAGGATGGCGAGGCATCGCGTTGAGCCAAGGGCAGGCAGGTTGGAGGGTAGTTGCCGGAGGTGGAGGTAGTTGTCTTGCAGGCAGCAGAGGCATAAATTCTTCAATGACATGGTGCTCCAGGCAGCACACCCCAGAAGGGGTGAGGGAGGAAGTAAGAAAAATAGTGTATTAGCCAGAGTTGAGGAAACCAGAGGCAATGCAAGCAAAATGATCGAGTGCAATATTCGTGTAGGCTCCGGCAGATCTGGCTAGCAGCATGAGAAAGAGGGAGAGACAGGCGGGAACACAGGCATGGGGACTCCCTGAACATCAGCACTCTAGTGTAAAGCTAGAGTGACAGCACTGACGCATCAGTTTATCCAAAGCCAATGACACCGAACCCCACCCAGCTCTCATACTGTTAGTCTGACTGGGAGTGAGCGACTAGCTGGAACCAGAACTAGGTTTCCTATACGCTAAGCAATACAAGTGCGTTTTTAATCTAGACTTGAAAAGCGAGAGTGTGCCTGAATCCCGCACATCCTCCTTGCACAAAGGAGCAGATACTGGTCCTGCTGATGGGTTAAGCACCTCTACGGCCTTGTACAGCTCTCCTAGAATAATTGCCTGTCTCCTGGACTGTCCTGGGAGACACAGCAAACCCTCTGCCAATGGCACGTATTGATGTGCTATCCTGGGGGCGTTGGACCTTTGTAGGGTGGTATCGCCTCATGCTACCAGTAGTGGCACTGATCATAGCAAATGCAAAACTAGTGAAAAAAACAGTCGGAAAAGATGAGGAGGGAAAAATGTCAGCGGCCTCCACCTTTTAACCTTTTAAACTATTCTGTTTTGGGGGTCATCTCATTGTTGCCCCTCTAGTGCATCTGTTGTTAATTTCATTAACACCAAAGCAGCTGAAACTGATTAATAACCCCCTTTGCTACTTAACTGACCAGATCAACATCCCAAAAGATTAATTGACTTGATGCTATGCTCTTGTTAAAAAGTGTTCCTTTAATTTTTTTTGAGCGCTGTATATCACATTAGAAAAACAAACGTGAGTAAAACATTCATTTCAGTAGTAATTAATGGGAAACCAAAATTATAGTACTAAAAAAGCTGTTCTGAGTTAAAAAGCTCATTGACAAGCAGTTTCATTGGGTGCTTTTTAATAAGTAACACCTTTGCAATAACATACAGTCATGGCCAAAAGTTTTGAGAATGACACAAAATCTGCTGCCTCAGTTTTTATGATGCCAGTTTGCATTTGCATATACACCAGATGAATTGATCAGGTGATCAGATGAATTGCAATTAATTGCAAAGTCCCTGTTTGCCATGAAAATGAACATAATCCCAAGAAACCCATTTCCACTACACTTCAGCCCAGCCACAAAAGGACCTGCTAACATAATTTCAGTGATTCTCTTATTAATACAGGTGAGAGTGTTGACGAGGACAAGGCAGGAGATCATTCTGTCATGCTAATTGAGTTAGAATAGCAGACTGGATGCTTTAACAGGAGGGTGGTGCTTGGAATCATTGTTTTTCCTCTATTAACCATGCTTACCTGTAAAGCAACACGTGCAGTCATCTTTGCTTTGCACAAAAAGGGCTTCACAGGCAAGGATATTGCTGCTAGTACAGTAAGACTGCACCTAAATCAGCCATTTATCAGATTATCAAGAACTTCAAGAAAAGATGTTCAATTGTTGTGAAGAAGGTTTGAGGGTGCCCAAGAAAATCCAGCAAGTGCCAGGACTGTCTCCTAAAGTTGATTCAGCTGCAGAATCGGGGCACCACCAATACAGAACTTACTCAGGAATGGCACCAGGCAAGTGTGAGTGCATCTGCATGCACAGTGAAGCGAAGACTTTTGTAGGATGGCCCGGTGTCAAGAAGGGCAGTAAAGAAGCCACTTCTCTCCAAGAAAAACATCAGGGACAGACTGATATTCTGCAAAAGGTACAGGGTTTGGACTGCTGAGGACTGGGATAAAGACATTTTCTCTGATGAATCCCCTTTTCCTTTGTTTGGGGCAACTGGATAAAAGATTGTCTGGAGAAGAAAAGGTGAGCGCTACCATCACTCCTGTGTTATGCCAACAGTAAAGCATCCTGAGACCATTCATGTGTAGGGTTGCTTCTCAGCAAAGGAAGTGGGCTCACTCACAATTTTGCCTAAGAATACAGCCATGAATAAAGAATGGTACCAAAACATCCTCCGAGAGCAACTTCTCCCAACCATCCAAGAATAGTGTGGTGATGAACAATGCCTTTTCCAGCATGATGGAGCACCATGCCATAAGGCAAAAGTGATTACTAAGTGTCTCGGGGAACAAACATCGACAACTCCCTAGACCTTAATCCCATTGAGAACTTGTGGGCAATCCTCAAACAGGGGGTGGGCAAACTGAAACCCACAAATTCTGACTCCATGCATTGATTATGCAAGATTAGGCTGCCATTAGTCAGGATTTGGCCCAGAAGTTGATTGACAGCATGCCAGGGTGAATTGCAGAGGTCTTGATAAAGAAGGCCCCACACTGCAAATATTGACTCTTTGCATAAATTTAATGTAATTGTCAATAACAGCCTCTGACACTTATGAAATGCTTGTACGTATACTTCAATATACCACAGAAACATCTGACAAAAAGATCTACAAACACTGAAGCAGCAAATTTTGTGAAAACCAATACTTGTGTCGTTCTCAAAACTTTTGGACACAACTGTACAACACCAAACATTAGCGTTTAGTATCCATCTGACAGCCAGTGACTGCAATTGCAAATAATCTCAAAATTGCAAGAACAGAACTAAATGAGTCAGTCAAAAAAAAATTTAAAAAAAAGAAAATATTTGTGCAGAAGATATGTGCAGATATGTTAAACATTGCTTGTCAATGGACTTTTGTTATGAAAACAATAAATTTGCAACATTTTTACTAACTAACAAACGTATAGCTACTTCCCAGAACCTGTGTGTCGTCTTTCCATTTGCTGCTGGGTCTCTGTATATTTACTAAGGCATCGGCCTCATTATGCATTACAGCTATAGGGAATCCCTGAAGAATCAAATGAAAGTGAAACAGATCAATGTGAAACCAATAATAAAGGGCAGCTTATCAGGCATCTGCCAGCTCAGGTAAGTCATCTAATTATAAAAGGCTTTAGCTGCATGTGTGTGTTTGTGTGTTTTTGTAACTATTACAATCTGGGGACCAGTTGTATCCACAATGTGATAAAAACCTGTAACTTCATATCTTGTGGGGACATTTTTTCTGTCCCCACAAGAATAATCTCAATTTTATAAAAAAATCTGTAAACAAAGTACAAAACCTAAAAATGCCAAAAGTCAAAAGCGTCAATCTCGGATAGCAATGTGACAATGTTGTTAAAGTTTTTTACAAGATCTAACTGAAGATGGTCCAGTGTGGAGCTGATTTATGCAGTGGTTTTGTATTTGGAGCTTTGTGTGGTTAAAGTAAGGCTTATGCTCAGATGTGGATAGTTCAAGTCCAAAAATTTAAAATCCAGACCAAGAATCTGTTTCAACCTGCCAGTTGGGTAATCTGTGTATTTTTATAGTTAACTGGTTGACTGAAACAAAATTTTGATCTGGATTTTTACTTTCTGGACCTGATCTATCTACCTCTTCCTGTACTGTAGTGAAATCCCTTTTCCAGAAGGACAGTACTAGCTTATGTTTGTAGTACAGTGATGGAGTGCATTGTTTTTTTTACAATGACCAGACAGGTGAATTTCCCACAGGGACTATATTGTGGTTTCCATGGACCCCCAGCCTGAAGATGTGAGGGTCAGACACCTGGACATAGTGAATGACATGGAGAAGCAGTGCTATAAGTACCTGATAAACAGCATACAAAGTGACATAAAGGTACTGGGAAAGGTTTCACTTTATAGGCAGCCACCTTGTTGCTTTCTCTCAGATGAACTAAATGATGAATAGCTTACTGTACAGTGCACACAGAAAGTCTTGGGACGCTTGCTTAATTTTGTAATAATTGTGCAAATTTATTGGTTTCAAAACAAGTCCATTGACAGGTAATGTTTAACATATCTGCACATATCTTTCACACAGACATTTTCTTTTTATTAAGTGTCATATTTTTTTGACTGACTCATTCAGTTCTGTTCTTGCAATTTTGCTTTTAATTGTAATTGTGGTCACTGGCACCCAAAGACATACTAAACGCTAATGTTTGGTGTTCTGGTGTTAAAGTGTTGCTAATTAAAAAGAACCCAATGAGATTGCTTGGCCATGACCTTTTATCTCAGAGCAGCTCTTTTAGAACTATAATTTGGGTTTCAATTTATTACTACTTGAAATGAATGTTTTACTTAATGATACTGGTTGTTTCTAATGCCATCCATCCATCCATTAACTTCCGCTTATCCGAGGTCGGGTCGCGGGGGCAGCAGTCTCAGCAGGGAAACCCAGACTTCCCTCTCCCCGGCCACTTCCTCCAGCTCCTCTGGGGGAGTCCCGAGGCGTTCCCAGGTCAGCCGAGAGACATAGTCCCTCCAGCGTGTCCTGGGTCTTCCC